ACAAATCACTTATTGTTGACCTCAATGTTTCATGTCCCTTCAGGACGTTGGCAATTATGGCTCTCCACAATTTCCTGTCCTTTGTCACCCTTAATAAATTTTGTCTTTTGTTATCTTTCCTAAATCTTGCTCTGACATCCATTTACTCAAGCTTGCTAGGTAGGTTATGCATTGTTTTCCTCTGTCCATCTTGCCTTCAGTCTGTCCTGCAACTATCAAATTTTCCAAGACCTCTTTTTTCATTATGTGCCTAAGAAATTTCAACTATCTCTTCCTGATGATCATTATAAGTTTCCTTTTTGTTTCCACTTTCTCAAAAACTTCATTATTCATGGTATTCTCAGCATCCTTCTGTAGAACCACATTTCTGTTGGATCAAGTCACTTCTTCATCTGTGAGGAGATTGTCCAGTATCTACTGCCATGTAGGAAGACTGATATTATTTAACAGTTCAGTACTTTTATAATAGCCTTCTCTTTTTTTTTTTTTTTTTTGTGGACAGAGGTGAATATCAAAAAAAAAAAAAGCTATTCATATTAAAAATCTGCAGTATGTATGTGTGTGTATGTATGTATATATATATATATAATCAGTCAGTGATACATGCTTAAGTGATCATGTATCTTTCGATACATGACTGACGAGGCAGATTTTTTCCCACAGTAGGTTGCCATTTCTTTCTGTGGTAGACCAGTTGCCATCCAAGGCTGGTCTGTCCTGCTAATTACCCATTGCTGGGGGAGAAGCAGAGGATTCATACCTTTCCCAAGGGTATAAGCATGTAAGTGAATGTAATGGATTTGACTGGAATTTGAACTCTGCTCTCCAATTCCTCAATTCAAGCCACTATCCATGACTCCTTTATATATAGCATACAATAATTGACAATGTTTAGGCACAAGAAAGAAGCTCTTTGAAGTCTGAGTGGTTTTGTATTTTAATGTCTAGAGTATTTTTTCTGAACTTTTGTGACTTTGTTAATTCAGAGGAAGTGAAGTGCAGGATCATTGTTTCTTCTCCTTAGCTATTTTGATGTTCCCATTCAGAAACAAAAATATTCACCATTTTCTACAGTCAGATAAGTGCTTGCTCTCGTGATAGGTCTATATGCTAGTCTCATATGACTCTTTGCTAACTGGGTAGCTCACTATGATAAGTTTAGTAAATATCAATAATTGTTGAAATTTTTCATTTCTACTTCCAATAAAATGAACAGAGATTTGAGTTAACAAGTTTAGATTTTGGTTGTGGTGGTTTGTGCTCATTTCACACTGATCTCCTAAGGATTCCTGCTTTCCCAAGGGCATTAGTACAAAATAAACACAAATTCTATCACTTCATTACATTCTCTTTCACACAAATACCCATGAAAAAGGTATGAATTCATCTTTCCTCTACTTCCCCATCTATTGTTTAAAAGTCAGGACAGATTGGGCTCTCTAGCTGTGGTTGGCAACGAGTCTAGAAGGACTACTCTGAATTCAAAACTGTAGCTTTGATGAGGCACATATACAGCCATTGAAAAGGTCATGGATTTCACAATTAATTAGAGCATGGAGTTAAGGATTCTGTGATCTCATTTAAGTTCAAATAATAATAAAAAAGTCAGAAGAAAATTTGGATTCAATTTGCCAAATCAATTTTCTACTGTTGTTAATTTACTTATACATCTATTCTCCTGGAAATTACAATAATAAAAAAAATAGTATCCTTATTCTTGTTGTAATGTTTGCCTTCAGTCTTGACTCACTGTAAATCCATTTTTCTTTCTCTCACTCTCTCTCTCTCTCTCTATCCTTCATTTGTATACAGATTGTGTGCTTAAACTTGTTCAAGCAAATTTCAAGTTAAAGATTGTAAAAGTCAATGTTTAATCATCTTTTTTCTTCCTTATTACCAGAAATGTTCAGTTTTGTTAATGAAGGAAATAAGTGAAGATAAAATGAAAAGAGGTGAAGTAGTGATAAAGTAAGTGGTCTGGGATAAGCATAAATTTTCTCTAGGAACAAATGCAGTTGGTGCTAGAGCAATAGGGATTGGTTCATTCTCCTCCTAGTGTTAGACTTTGTAGTGTCTGGATGGATGTAATCACTAGAGTGAATTAAAGTTTTTATGCATTTATTTAATGACTCCTACCTATTTTATCACAGGTTACATCCATAGCTGTTTAATAATGAAAGGAATATATAATTCTTTTGCATTCAAGATACTTGCAGATGGTCCTGTATGTTTTTATTTTTAAAACCTTTTTAGAAATACGCAGAGAATTTCATAATGGGAAACATCCTTTCTCTTTGGAACTTCCATTTTGCCACCACTTCTACTTGGGTTCTGCCATCACCTAAATCTGTAAAGATGTATCAGTCAGACTTTTAAGGTATGAAATCCTTCAATGAAAACATTTTTTACACTTTTTTTTTAATGGATTATTTACATTTTATTTTTCTTAATAGCTTAGCCAAGAAAGCTGACAAAACAAATGGCAAAGGATTTTCCTCTTTTATATTATTGGAAGGGAACATTGAATTTGACTTGCAGCCAAAATCCTGGCCCACTTTGATTGTTAATGGCAGGCAATCTCTGGGCCTGACTTCACTTAATTAGCAAACAGACAAGTACTTTTCTTCTGGCATCTTTACCAGTTGCTGATTACTGTAAATTATGTTGCCCTGTCACCCTCACTTTGTATTGCCTTATATATCACACACATATCACACCTTCAAGTTATTGCACAAAGTCTTAATATTTTAATGAATTTCTACATAAAATTTTAATAAGGTTTTATGAATTATGCACAATTAGATTTTTAAAGACTAGTTTTTCATAGTCATAAGCACTTTATCCATAATTCTAGGTTAACCCTTCTGGTTTATCAGGTCAACTGTAAAACTATCTTCATTGTAGATGTTTATAAGAAAAGAATGTGACAGATTTTATTAACCATGTGATAGATTAGTCAAGGCAGAGAAAATAAAATATCAAGCACACTATTTATCTCTGACTCATATTTCAATTATCATTTCAATCATCTTTGACTAATTCAGGTAAAATGTTATCCTATAAGGTGTTCATAAAAAGTTATGGGGTGGGAGGTTGTAATTAACTGTTCTCAACATGGATTGGACACCACTAATTTTTCTATGAACATAACTTTAAGAAAAATGTCTATTGTTTCCTTTGTTTTCTTCAGAGTCACTTGAGATAGAATCAGATCTCAGTTTAATCTAAGGTTTGATTTAAAAAGAGAAAGGGATAAATCTTTTGATCACACCCACATGAATGTGTTAACTGATAAAAAGGCATTAAATTAGCATTTATAAACTGACCTACTTAAGAGGAACAGAAGTATCCCAATGTCCATTTTTATATATATATATATATATATATATATATATACACACACACACACACACACACACACACACACACACAGGGTGTCCCTAAAGTTTGGCCAAAAATGCATATTTTCAAAAAATTAAATTTTCAACATTTTATTGAGTTGGAATATTAACAAATAACATCTTCAATATGATTTCCATCATTTGTGATGCAAAGGTTGATGCATTTTGCAAGACTCACGTGAACTCTATGCAATAACTTCATATTGCCATCAATTTTAGCACATTCACTCTTTATGTATTCAATCAAGTGTATTGCATCTGTGATTTTCATTGAGTACACCTTCTCCTTTGCCATACCCCAGAAAGAGGAGACTTTCTTCTTTTGACAAAGCCATGTTTAATATGTGGAGGTAAAAAAATTATAGTTAATGAGATTCTTATGTGTCCAGACTTTAGAGACACCCCGTATATTTTGGAAGCCATCTTTCTTTGATATGTTTCATTGAATGTGACAGACAAGGAAGATTTTATAAGGCTCTTACAGTTTTCTCTTATGTGGACTAAGAAAGTGTAGAAACTGTTTCGAAGCCCACTGCTCCCTTCTACACACACACGCACCAACACATAATTACTACTACTTCTACACAATGTAACTTAGTATGTTTTCCTGTGTTCATATTCGAACAACAAACCCCTTGAAATTGGCTAATGAATTGGCTAAAATCACTACAGTTTGTGGAAAATTTTATTTTTGATGTATTTTTTCTCCTAATGTTAAACTATTTCATTGATCATTCTAGCTTTAGTCAAATTGAGTGGAAGAGCAAATTCAATCTATTTTTCCTCTAAATATTTAAAAATTAAAATCTGTCAAAAAGCTGATTATTCATGGTTTGTGAAAATACTACAAAGTAGGCCAAATTTCTTCAGAGATGCAATAATTTATTTTATTTTAAATAATTGCAGAATTTTTAAGGTTCTAGTCTAAAACACCTCACTTAAGTGTCCAGTGAACAATCTATTTGTATCATTTGCAATAAGCCAGGTGAGAAAGTTAGTGTGTATATGCTGTTCGCTCCCTGTCATGTTTGATAATGGGTCAAACAATTTTGTAATGTTTTTTTATTAGTCTGTTACAGAAAACGACTTGACTTGCTTTCTCATCCATTCTATTCTCTATCAACCATTGTAATGTGTCAAGGAACAAGATATTTTTGTCAAAATATAACTGGTGATGGGATATGTCAATCCACATCTCTGTGCTTTTTCAATGGTATTTGTGAAAATTGAATATAAGCAATCTTAGCCCAAATCCAAATTGTTTAATTACCAATTCTATTTTCTATATCAAAAACTAATGTTAGCTTATATATTGTGTGAGAAAGAAAGTCTGATAGATAGATGAGAGAAAGAGAGAGTGAGTGAGAATCTAAATAGGACCTGGGGTGTTTATCAATATCCATTATACATTTTTAAAAAATGGCTGACAGCAATTAATAAATTCTTCTAGTTATCTTGAGAGTTGATAATCATTTCAAAGCTTTCTAATGAGAAAACTTTCTTTCTTTTCAACTTCTTTAAATTACTCTTTCAATAAAAGATATCAAATCCTTAAACATGTCTTTTCACTTATGTTTTTTTTTTCTTTAATTTCTGCAGGTCGTAAACGTGAATGGTTCAGCTTAAGTGAAGCGAAGGAGAAATTGCAACACCAGCCGCTTCAAGTGAGCTATCTGGAACTGCTTGAGAAGAAAGAAGGCAAGGTGTCATGAGGGCGAGAATCCCAGCATCAGGGTGGCAGTGGCAGGGTGGTGGTGGCAAGGAAAGCAACAGTCTTCACTTGGTCCCCAGCCAGCAGACCAGTGGTCAACTGGGGAATGCTGTTGTTTTGAAGTGGGGGTACTTGTGCTAACTGGACAGTCCGTCCCCTTAATTGAGAATGATCAACTGACTGCCGGTATAGGCTGCTCATCCCAACATTCTTTACACTTCCACCATCCCCACTTTTTTTTCTTTCCCCCCACCATCATCTGCATGCATTCTCACCATGATCTTGATGATATATATTTAAAAAAAAAAAAAAAAAAAAGCAACAACGATTATGATGATGATGAGTCTCCATGGCAGCCTAACAAAGGATTTTCTCAAAAAAATAAATTGCTTTGGAACTTTTGCAACACTGATAGCAACAACATTGGCTACTACTTCTACTACAAATACAGTTACTAATATTACTCACCACTACTATTACCTTTAAATGAATCTTTCCTTATTTAAGGTTGATTGATAGGGGACAAAGTTTTAAGAAAAGGCGGTGGGGGGGCAGTTTAAAAAATTAGTAATGTGGTTTGACATGTTAAAAAGAAATTTTCTTTTTAGAGTGAGAAAAAAAAGAGATGTAATATACTGTCTATACAAATAAATTTATTTTTTCTATTCAGTATAGTGTAGTTAAAAAAAAAAAAAAAAAAAGTATTTTTTATTCCTTTTTATTTTAATATTTTTTTTGCTTTGTTTTTTAATATTTTAATTTGATTTGATTTCCTCATTCTCTTATGTACATATATTGAAGCAATCAGGTTGTCATGAAATAATTGTCTTTTCATGCTTTCCTGCATCACTTGGTCAAAAATTCATAAAGTCATCATAAAGAGTCTCTCCCCCATGATTAATTTCCAATGTAATGTTTAATCAATCTGTATTTATCTCTTTATTTCATTTTTGTTCTTCTCTGTTGCTAATAAAAACAAAAACGTTCTGGGAGAAATTCAGAAGCTAGTGGAATCATTTTGGCAGATTTGAGATCTGAAAGGAAGACTTTTCCCCAAGATAGATTCTGAATATTTTTGATGAAAAAAAAAATCATAATTGTTTGTATTTTTAAAAAAATTGTTTGGTTGTGTAAGCATTTATTAAAATTGACATTATTAATTAGTCCTATTAAAATAGGTTTTCAAAGCTTAGTTTCCTTATTAAAATTTTAAGATTTGTTATTACTGTAAAACAATATATATATTTTTTTTTTTTTTATTAATAAGAAAAAAAAATTGAATTTATTACACAAAGTGATGACCGAGTACAAATTAGTAGTAAGAAGCCCCGCCCCACCTCCTCCAGATTCTCTCAAGTCTTTGTTTGCTATCCAAACATTTTATATTTAAAAACAAAACTATATAAACGAAAGGGAAAATCAAAATGTGTCATTTTCAAATGACTTGGCTTTGTTCCAATTCACTGAAATAATTTTGGTGATAAAGAAAATATCTGAAGGGCTTATATAAGACCCTCTGTATTTTGCAGTATCATGAAATTTATGCTTTATTTAAAAAAATAATGCAGATGATAATTTAAATTCATAATTTTTTCTTTAATTTTAGTTAGAGATGACAATTTTTTAGCACTTTTTTTATTAAATATCTATTTAAATTAGGAAGTTTTTGTTTGTTTTTTTTAGATTTTCAATTAAATTCTTCTTTTAAAATTATAAAAAATAAAAACATTTGTTTTTAAATTAAAAATCTCAAGTTTACATTAAAAAAGCTATGGCAGCAAACAGTGTTGTTCACTGTACACCAATTGTTCTCCTCAAAATGGGGAGAGCTGCCCTATATATATATATATATATATATATATATATATATATATATATATATATTTTCTATAAAAAATTGTTGATTGCTAGCTCTTATTTAGCCTCAGATTAGCTGCTGTATAAACTTACCACCATTGATGGTTTTATTTTGAAAAAATAAGTATTTAAAGAACATAAAAAGATATCAATTATGAATGTAATGGTGGTAATTTCAAATAATAAAACAACTCTGTACATTTTTTTTATCTGGTGCTTCAAAATAGCAATTCTATATAGATCTTCAAATGTGTGTGTGTACATAGAGGTATGCACGCACACACATACAAAATATCATTTTTCATTGCTTTTTTTTTTTTTCATCTTTCCTTTTCTCTCATTTTTTTCCATTTTCTTAAGTTGCTTTCCCACTTCCTCTTTTTTCATGTGTCTCAGTGCAGCTAATTCTGCTGTGTGGCTGTGGAAGAAAGAACAATTGTCATTTCAATGTTTTCTCATCTCTCGTTCATTCACCTTCACCACCATCATAACCAAGTAAGCTGATAAGCAACCATCCATTCATCACCATTTTATATATATATATATATATATATATATAAAATATTCTGTGCATTCATGCATATATTATCATGCTGATAATTATACATGGTGTACATACATTCACACCCAAATATTGTGTTTATATATACACACCATACACATATAGATACTGTGTGTAGTACTAAAAATGTGTGTATATATATTTTTCATGTATATGCATATTTACATGTATGTGTATGCATGTATATATGCATAAGTATAATTGTGTAATGATACATTATATGCTGTACCCAGTTTTTTTTGCATATATTGTATTGTGTGCTTAACTTGATGGTGTACAGTCAGTTTTTCACTGGGGATCATTTTATCTTGGCATTTTTTGAACTTACTACAATTGGGGAGGAGGATACAAATCAGCTTCCCTATCTGAGAATTTTCTTTCACAATGTCCAGTTTCTGTGATGTCAAAAAAAATAATAAAATTGTGCAAAGATTTCACATTCATGGTTATATTTGAGATACTTAGGTTATCTTTGTGTGTGTGTGTGAGAGAGAGAGAGAGAGTATACATACATCACTGATTCTCTGTATGGTCATGCATGCACCTAATGATACACTGCTATATCCAATCTATGTAAACTTTTCATTTCACTACAACCATGCACACAATCTGAGTTTAACTCAACTTTGTAAATATTTCAAACATTTCAAAAATCCTATTTAACAGTGGATTGGTTGTTACTACAACTTTTACTATCATTTGCTTTTATGCAAGATGTGTTTGATGGCTTAAATTCTAAACTCACATTTACTATTACCTAATTTGTTAGAGTTATAAAACCTCTACATTATTAGCTGGTATTTTCCACCATTTTTATTTTTTAATCATATATTTTTGTAAATGAGAAAAGTAAACAATATTGTTTATTTTAAATAACATGATAATTGCTAAATACAGTATGACCACATTATAACGCTTTCATTGAGGTCTATAAAATGTCATCGGGAAAAGAAAAAAAACCGGGGTCGCACTAAATCATGGTTCAAGAAAATCAGCATTCACAGGCAGTATTCAAATTCACCTAACTTTTAGTAAGCACCTCGTATATATACTGTATCACTCTTCATAAAGTGATTGTTGACCTACTGCGTTATATAATGTATGAAGTCACATTAAATCAAGTACTGTATATTTTTTTGTCTGAGAATAAGAATCTCTTGTGATAAGAACAAAGTTTTAGTTTCAGAGTTTTTGTTTTTTTCTCCAGTTAGGGGTGAGATATTATATTTAAATTAAATTGTCCTAATTTTTTTTTACAGAATAGTTCTGCATTAATTTAAAAGTATAAAAGGGGGATAAGTTAAAGCTCACTTACAATTAAATCCTATATGAACCATATCTACAATTAAGATGTGATAGACCAGGATTAAATTTTAAGAGTATTTTTATTTAAAATTGGATGTAACAAACTAAATCCAATAAAAAAAAAATACATAAATAGGCATACAATTTTCTGCATTCTACATAATTCATAGTCTTTCCTGTATAGGCACATTTATTCACCCCCACCACCACCAATTGCTTATAACAACCTGAAAACACCTACCTCTTTAATAAACTTACATACAGAATTGGGCACATAATTTTAAATTATTTAGTCATGCCCTGACTCTTGTATGGATAAACAGATACACTCATACACACACAGTTGTCCCCATCTACACAAATACACACTAACCAGTAAGTACATTTATTCACACAAATCTTTTATGGGGAGATAAATACACACACAACCACACATATATACATAAGACATTTTTATATTTATACATTATTTTTTATAGATACAAATATTTAAGTAAATGCATAAGTTGTATCTATAAAAAAGAATGTATAAACATAATAATGTCTTAAAATAATTGTCGGGCTTTGTCCATTTCATAATATATATATATATATATATATATATATATATATATATATACACACACACACACACACACACACACACAAACTTTCTTCAAAATGCTGACATTCTCACGTTTAAACTCCTTTGTATTTATGCAGTTCATTCTCTTGTCAACATTTACATAGACCTTCTGATAGAATCACATACATACACACAGGCCTTTACACTCTCTCATACACAAAACAGATAATTATATGCTTTTGCATGCACACACAATATCCTATTTATTCAGTAAATGTTGACATGGAGTAATTTTTCATCAACAAAGGAGAGGGAAATTTGTTCAAAAAGGCTTTTTTTTTCTTTTCTTTTTCCTACAAGTGAAGTTAATTTTGGTGGGTGGGGGGGTCACATGATTTGATCATTGCTTTTCATCATTCCCCCCCCCCCCAATTTCAAATAAATAATTTATGTCGCCTCTTTCCAAAAGTGTCAGTCGTATCATCAAATGATTTTTACTTTCTTTTATTTTTAACATTAATGAAGTAGAATGTTTTTTTTTTTGTTTTTTTTTAAATTTTGTTTTTCATGTCTATTATTTGTCATGCATAAATGTGTGTGGCAAAGCTTTTAACTTGTGCTGTTGAATTCTAATGAAAATCAGTTTGTCTTCAACAGTAGACTGGAACCTGTTTTAGTCTTTGAGTTTTTGTTTTTTTTTGTTTTTTTTTCC